ACAAAAATACAGCCACAACCACATTGCAGCATTTCTTCCAACAGCATTTCCATTCCACACACTCCAGACGTGGGCATAATACCCATGCAGGGACTAGCAAAGAATGATCACTTCTTCTCTTCTCTCCTTCTCTCCATCAACCTCTATTTTTTTTTTTCATGTAAATTATAGGACATTTTACTTGAGAGTGCCACATATTACTGGAGCAATTGCTAGCATTTTGGAAGATTAGGAAACTAGCTGACATCAAAAACTGATCCTTCCATAATTTTTTTTTTTAATAAACTAGTATCAAAGTGAGTTTTAGCTCCTCAGAAGAACACTAAAACCAAGGACTGACATGAGGAGAGGAAGCACAGCAAAACCACTTCAAGCTTCCTCTGCCAGCCTGCTTTTGAGCTCTTCCAAAACTCTCTAGGTATGAGCATGTTCTGCAAGAGTTGTAGGCATCAGGACAGCTGCTTTTACACAGACACTTCAAGTACCAGCACTTCCAGGACTTAGATATTCTCTACAGCACAGCAAAGGGATAGGCCAACACCCCTCAAACCTTCTAACTCTCTTTTTCCATCTTCAGAAGTGACAGAGCCAGGAACAATAACCGCTCCTGCACAGATTGATGTAGCTTGAAGGAGAAAGGGTTTTTTTGTTGCTGTTGCCTTTTTTTTTAAAAAAAAAAAAAAAAACAAACACCCTTGCCCACAGCCTCCGACAGGAACAGGAGTAGTGCTACACCACCATGGAAACAGCTGCCACAGCTGGGATTAATCACCATTTGGAAAAGCAGCACAAGGCCCCAGGGAATTAAGGCCATAACAACTCACTGTCAACAAAGGTCAAGAGGGCTTATTTCTGGGACACCAAACAGCCTTCAGCCTTGCAGTACTCACACCTGAACTGTACCCAAGCCAATTGAATTTGATCAGTAGACAAGCCCTAGTGGAGCTCGCACTAGAAGCACTTCAAAGCATTGAGGGCAGAGCTCAGGAATAGCAAGAGAATTTCATCCATGTTGCACTGGGCTAGCCAGTGTCAGTTTAAGGCTCAATATCCCCAACTATACTATCAACACGAGGCAGCAGACAACAGCTGGAGGTTAATCTGTTCTGTATACACTGGTTAGCTGTAGCATGGGATAAAGACTTCACCCTTTGACCAAGATGCACAGCACCTGCACCAGTGAGAAGTGGATGAGCATTTCTTCTCCAATACAATCAGTTCTCTATTCACCCTTTCAATCAACAGCCTCCCTGCAGTGACAGGAACCTGTAATTCTCTGTATTAAACTGTTCCCTACAAAACCATTTTGAAATTGAGTTTAAAGAAAGCCAAGTGTCTCAATTCAGTCAGAGCAAGGGACACAAAACTCGCACTATGAGCAAGAAACACATTCTGCCATGCTCAGCCCTTTTCCAAGATATGGTATCAATTCCAGAAGTTTTATGGCCAGCGGTTTCTCCAGTGAACCGCTGCTGTAACAGTTATTAAATGCAATTAATGACAGATTCTCTTGAATGCTCACAAAATCCCACAACAAAATCAGTCATTTGCCTGACTTCAAAAGAAGGACCTCTCAAGCCAGTAACAGACCTGCAAAGATGTAACCACTCAGAGTGGGAAACCCAGAGATGTTGCCTGCTACCACCAGCACCAAATTACACACCTAATTAAAAAAGCAAACTCCAAAACCACCGACACCTTCTCCACTTTAAGAATCTTGACACTGTTTTTCCTAGTAGCCAAGAGTAATTCAGTTTTATGCAGCTTAAAGTTGTGAGAAGCCAACTTTTCAGAAAGGTATTAATGAACAAATTCTGCTAGAAAAATTCTAAAAACAAAATGTTATTTGAACTTGGAAAAGGTTTCTTGATCATACCCCAGGCTATGTCTGCTGAAGCACAGGTAGGAACTGATCTTTATGGCTCAGATCAAAGACTAAACCCACCAATAATCTGGTTTGTTTGCAATTCACTCCCACCACACACCCTTAGCCTAAGGAATCAGGAAAACCCCAACACTGTGGAGAATACCTGGATTCATAGTTCTGGATTAGACCTGTCCCTGTTTTATACAGTTATATTATCTGTATTAATGAGAATTTTGGTTTAACAGAGATTAGCTATATAAATATACAATAAATATTATCTCAGATACAGATAGACCAGACAACTATATGATCTGAAATGTCAACCAGATTCTGAATACCAGAGAAATTTAGTGGACACTTACATCACCTTCCACAGATACAGTTTACAGTATCAAGAGTATGAAGTGAATTCATGATCACTTCCTGCCCACTGGCACAGAGGGGTATATATTCTTTCATACCTACCAAAGTCCTTCAATAAAGCATGAGGTGGCACTTGCCTCATTCTAGAAGACCTGATCTACCCAATTCAGTAACTAAGCTATAAATTTGACTTGGGTCCATTAAGTGAAAGTGAATGTAAAATATCAAGGCCAACACTCTATTTTTAGAGCTTTTGTTTCTCCTGAGGAAGCAGCAAATTCGTGTTCCTATTGTTTGTCACGAACTTCCCACACACACTTCCAGTCTGCAACCAAATTTGATTGTGTGTGTGCAGTCAATAAGACACTACCATAATTTTAATTTAAGCTAATGTACAAATACTACTTCAAACAATGCCCACAAGCTTAAGTTAATTTAAAAAAAAAATCTCCAAAAATCTCCAACATTCAGGAGACAGGAGGCCTAACAATATTTAATATCTTCCAAAGCATCCATTTGGTTGCATGTTGAGAAAAAAAAATACCCAACAAGTAAAAGCTACTTCTGTCAGACCCTCCAAAATCTCTAACAGAAACACTAGTACAGATACAACATTATACTCTGCATCAATCACACACAGAGCTCAGTTACAGCACAGATGTCCTTAACTCCTCCCAGACTATGGAGAGTTGAAGACTGTACACCACCACATGAAAGGCAATCTCAGATTAGCATCAAGACCTTGAATTTGCCCTGAAGATGCGACTGTGACAAGGACGAGTAAGTTTCTTTTTTAATGTTATCATCATTAAAAGGGATTTTATTTTAAGCTTTGTTGCAATTACACATTTTCAGGACTGCACTCCAGAGAATGATGAGCTCTCACAACTGCTTTATTTACATACAGTATATATAGCAACAAGATTCGTAGCACTTAATTTCTAGACTATGACAGGAACATCCCTGTTACACCTGCTACTGGCAAGCTTCAACTACTGTTTTCCACTGAAAACTGTGTCTGAACCTATTTTAGCTGCTGCTACCTTTATCGGATTATGATTTCACATGTCAACAGCTAGGTCAAGGCACCAACCAACATATCACATGATTCTGAAACACTTTTCTTTTTTCCTGACTCTGATAACTCTTCAGGTACTCTTAAAAGAGGTCAGCTTATCAGCTCCAAGACAGAACTCACATGAACAAAAAGCTTTCGAGTTTCAAAACCGGAAGGCAGAGACTCTCAGTCAGTAAATCTTGTGGGTGTGAGGAAGAAAGACTAGTAATGTCCCTTCCTTAAACATGGTCCTTTTTACTTGGAGGCTCCATATACATTTACACTGTTCAGTGGGTAACAAAAAAAACTTTTCAGCCTCTAGTTATGACCAAATGGAATTTCCCCTTAGAAATCACAAGTCTCAGGATGACATCACAATGCATCAGCACCTCCAGTTCTCAACAGTCATGACACAGGTCAGCTGTCTTCAGAAATACATGATACTCCCCTACATCATCTTAAACCTGAGTTACACACCTCATTTTTCTAGCAGGCCACTGGAATTTGCACAGATGAGTCATCCACCCCATCTGACTTTTTCAGAAGTCCCTCTCTTTTTGGCTTCCCTAAGCAAGTCCAAAAGCAGAGGCAATAATACGGAATGGCAGTAGGCAAGGTCTGGAAAAGAATAGCATCAGAAGGCACTACTGTGCTTAAACATTACGTCTGTCCTGGTTTTGTTCTCAAAATGCAATACACAGCCACTTCTCTATGCACAGGAAAGGTGAAGTGTCCAGAATGAGCACACTAACTCCTACAGTTTAGTTGTTCTGTCCACTATATGATTGGGACACAAATGCAGAAGAGCATTTTAACAGTCCTCAGAGACTTCAGCCTGGTTTATACTGCACAGCATTCAAATCTGGCAAAAGATGCCTAAAAGCAAATAGTAGACAGTCACCCCTCTCACTAAGTAGTCTAAATTATACACACTGTTGTGTACACAAAAATTCTATTTAGAGCAACTGAATTCACTTCTATGGCTTTCCAGCAGCATCCAACATGTATCTAAATCTGCACAAGTGCTCAGCTGTCACCACCCTGGTTTTAGGGAAGCACTATTACAGCAGAGGAACACTGACAGTGAGTTCAAGGATGTCAGCTAAGAAGTGCACTGTCTGTGAGAATCTGCAGTCACTCCTGCACTTAACTCTATCGGAGCAGGAGTTGAGAACAATCAACTCTTCACACCTAAGAACATGTACCCAGCACAATAAGTCTACCTTCAGGATAAGCACAAACTTCTTTTCCTAATTAATAGTGTATCAATTTGAGGTTTATATTTTAGCATTAAAGGCATTTCTTCATACCTATTTATCTGCTGGCAGGCCCTTTAAGAGAAGATTACGTTTTTAACAGGTTGGATACCAAAAAGCCATTATTCCAATTTCAGCAAACCCCTTCACATAGACATTCACAGCCCTGCCACAAAAGAGCCTTTTTAATAGATGCATCTCCAAATGCTATCACACCCTTCAAGCACAACCTCTTTAAAGAAAAGAGGGGGGCAGGGAAGCAGCCTTTGGCCATAATGGACAGAAAAGGAAGCTGTTATTGTCATTTCATAAGGAAAGATGGCCAAAAGTACTTTTACACAAACAATTTCCTCTCCATTTCCTGTGGCAAGCTCCTTTTTTGAACCACCAGCCCCCGCACTAGCTGAAATGTCATAGCAATCACCACAGATCAATGAGCAGAGAGCAGAAATCTCACCTGATAGTAAGTCTTAATGTTTCTGACTAAGATAGTCAGGTTTTGAACCCGAAGATAGGTGTCATTATTCACATGCTTGTTGACGCGTTGGTTAGTCGGTCGAGGATCTCTATTAAAAGAGGAAAAGAAAATAAAGTATTACTACTTTACTCAGTGCTAAGACCTAGTATCTCAAGGATGCACCCTCAGGAAAAATCTTTAAATTAACCCATTAAATGTGCTGACATAATTATTCAGGCTACATACACATTAATTAGTGATACAGTAAGCTCATGACCTTTGCACCAATGTGCAAGTTGTAAATGTCCCTGCATGCCACAAAGTAACCTACTTTAGGTTAATCCATACAGCAACTCAGGGCAGCTTCCCTCCTTATTTATATTTTTCTGGAGAGTATATATAGTTCATGCCCACTAGATCAGAGTAGTCTCTGATAATAAGGGGTTTATCTTACTCAAATGAAAGGAAGCCTAGGGAAGACTACCATGCCTGCCTTTGCTCTGGAGCTTTGTGACAAGAGGAGGGTATTAACACTAGATCAATGATCACTGGGCAAACTCCAAAACCCACACCCATTATACACTGAAGAGAAAAAGGAGCAACTGCACTCTTATTAGACCTAGTTAGATGATATGGTTATTTCTCATGTACCCATTGTGTCACAAAATCAGCTCTACTGGGCCCCAGTTCTACCGGGCTTCAAGATAAGAACAAAATATAAACCTAGGTAGAGATATAAGCAAGACAGGATAAAAGTTGGTGGAAAGAAGCTTAAGGTTTTTGTTTGCTTTTAAAAGAAGCAAATCAAGATTGAACCTGAAGAAATGTTATTTCTAAAATAAAAAAACAAGAAAAAAAGTTGCAAAGAATTTAATATGAATGTGCACCTTCAGACTGTGTACAGCCTAATGTGTTGCAAAAAAAAAAAAAAAAAAAAAAAAAAAAAAAAAAAGAACCTGAAAACCTTTATCTACCAATAGCATAGATCAAAGCCTTGCATTTCCCCTCTAATAAAGGCTCTTATCAGCAAACTCCTACACAATCCAAACACCTGCATCCCACAGCTCTGCTCTGGCTGTTGATTAAGCTATTCACAGCTCTTCCAGGGCCAAATATTGAACTCAGGCGTTGACAAGGAAACAAAAGACGAACTGATACAATATTTACTTTTAAAATATATCTGCCAAAGTTTACATAAATATGTCAAAGAGCTTTTTCTTTCCTTTTTATAATTTTTTAATATATGCACAATCATCCCAAAGCACCTCTCCAGTGAGAGTGGTGCTGTGTGTATAAATATGACAGAATACAGTGTTCCAGAGATCAGAGAAAACTTCCTTAGCAGAAGATAATTCATCAGTATTTACATACCAGAGTTCAGGCAAACTGAAGTACAGGTGACCAGAACTGCCACAGGCATAAACTAGCAAGACCCTACACAGCCTTCCCATCAGCAAAGGATTTTGTGTAATGATTTGCACTGTAATAAATGATGAAAAAAGAACTAATAGAGGAAACTGTAACAAGCTTTTAAAGGAAAATCTGTACTAAGTACCCCATCTTACTGATGCTCGGGCTTAGAAGTGCAGAAGCCATACCTATACAGTTTGGCAGTACCAGTCGTCAGCAACACAGCAAGGTGGAGAAGCATGAACAGCACCTGGGCTTGAACCTGGAGAGTATCCTGCCTTCAGAACTCTGAGCAGATGCTGGACCCTGCAGGGAGCTGGATGCTTACCCTTTTTACACAAGGTCACAACGACAAACCAGGAAGCTAAAGGGGAAGAAACGTACAGTAAAGAGAAGCTGGCCAAACACAGGGAGCAGCCTCCAGTTGTTGCCACGTGAAAGCTCATGTAGGCAGCCCTCTGGCGTGCCACTGTCTCTCAGTGACCCAAGTCTGCAGCCAGGAAGAGAAAGCTTTGGCTGTATAGTGGTGCAATATTCTGTGACCCTTCCCAAAACTGCACCGAACGGGGCAAAAATCCACAAAACGCACCTGCTGCCCAGAAAAAGAGCCCATTTCTTCAGCTGCTGTGGGCAGTGTAAGTGCAGGACCTGGATGAGGTTTTCAAAGGCACATAAGACATAGAAAAACTCCTCCCTCCAAAACAAGGCTTACTTGTTCTTTGGCACCGTGGAGCCAATGGCCTTTTACAAGAACATAAGCGTTATGTAAAAGGAGTATCTGGAGATACTCAAAGCCCACGGATGTGTTCCTGTGCAACCCGCTCTACGTGAACATGCCTTGGCAGAGGGATTAGGCTAGATGATCTCCGGAGGTCTCTTTCAACTCCTACCATTATGTGGTTGGCAGGACTGGGCCCTCAGAAGCAATTCTGGAGCATTTATGCTATAATCTTCATTAAGGGTAATTGATTACCCCAAGAGCCCTTTCTGCTACTGACCTTGAGGTCCTCTTAACCTGTAGCCAAGCCACAACACACAGTATCACTCTGGCAGTCATGCCACCTCCTTCTCACAGAGAAGGAAGTTAAAAGCTTTTCTGAAAACAGAGTGTAGCTCGAAAAAATAGTAAGGATCTCTGAATGTGTTGCATAACCAAGTTCATCCAGCACTTCAGCTCACTCAGAGAGGACCCTTTGCACAAGATGTGAAAAGCCAGCAGAGCCAGCACTTCAAACTACCACAGGGCTTATTGCCTCCACAGGGAAAACTAAATTCCTGGTCAACGTGCAATATCCCATTTCTTCTTCATTTGTTACCATATTGTTCCTTAACAGATAAGCTTGAGTACTGACTACATCTGTCCTAGCTCCACAGCTGGGAACTTGGGAGGAGCCACAGAAAGTTGCTCTTGGAGCCATTGGGAGGTTCCCCAGACAAGACAGATTTTTTTTCTTTTCCATTTACCAAGTAAGTTCAGTTTTACGCAGCTGGCAAAACATCTTTTGACCCAATATGCATGGCAATGAACACTTAAAATAATCAGCAGTTTGAGGCATGCGCTTACTCAAAAAATTTCTTGCATTTTTCAACCATTTTCTGCATCATATCCCCTGTGCGGAATAACCGTGTTGCATTACGCGAGGTAGCTGCTGCCTCTTCCTCGTCACCCACCTGGCTCCAGAGACCTCTCGGGATGAGGACGGGGTGGGCTGGAGGGGCCAGGAGAAGCAGCAGGGTTCTCCTGCTGCAGGAGCAGAGCTAGCCCCGCAGAGAGCAGCCCAGAGGCACCTGGCCTCACCACAAGGAACAGGCAGCACCCTGAGGTTACCTGCAACCAGGGAAGGAAACACACTGCCACACGTGCTTTCAGGTCTCAAGAAGAAAAGAAAGGCTGAAAACTTAGAGAGATTGAGGTAATCAAAACACTACAACACAAACAGCCTGATCCACAACAGCAAAAAGCAAGGAGAGAATGCAGAATCCTCAAGGAAAAAAGGATGTGAGTGAAATTACACCATAGGAGGCAAATTCCATGTTTAAATACATTTCTACCCTACAGAAAGCAGAGCTTTTGGTACCACACTCTGCACATTATAGCACCTGTTTGGTTGGTGAAACTTGTTTTAGAGTATTTATACAGATATAAACTCTTTACAAGGATCACACTGAAAATTAAAAATGGATTTTTTACAACACTAACCAGGTAAATGCAAATTCCTGTCTGAATATATGTGAAAAAAATCACTGAACAAGATGACAGCGAGATGTTTTTTCAATCCTTTGATGTTTGGTTTTTCCCTTACACACAAATATAATGAAAACTACAATTATTTTAAAAAAAAAAAAAACAAAACAAACAAACACACCTACTCAAGATAAAAAAAAAAAAAATCTCATTAAGACTGAGGCAGCATGACTGAGGTGTGACTAAGGGAGGTACTTCACAAACCATTGAAAAACATTCAAGGCAAATAAACAGAACAGAACTGAAATCTCACTTATATATGCAAACATCTTAAAGAAGTCCTCCAGTTTGCAAAAGGCTCCTTCACGGCTTTTGCAGGAGCACAGAGGAAAGGAAGGACCAGGAGACAGAGGCCATGTGATGAGTTCAGCGGGCGTGGGGCCGGTAGCAGAAGTGCTTGAAGATACAACCCCTTCAGCCATCAACTAATAAAAGTAACAAATAAAATCATTACGCTTTCAAAATGACAACCCCATTTGAGCACTTCCTGACAAGTAATTTTGGTGAGTATGGCAGCAGCCCACAGCAGGGCCCAGGGGATACGAGGCAGCAGAAGGAGCCAGCCACGTCGGCGTGCCCAGCACCCCTCAGCACTCTGCTCCACAGGTAACATGCCCACTGACAACACCCTGCACTTGGACCAGTCTAACTCTCCTAGCATCCCACTTCTTCCTCCACTGTCAAGTGGGATGACAGCACTGAGGCTGGCAGGGTTGCTAAATTGCTTGGGAAATGGCAGAAAAACACACCTCTAAATCAGATTTTAAAGTACAAAGATGAGTATCTCTCTAACCTGCCAGCATTCACGCCATTTCCTGCGCACCACAAGTGGGCACTCCCAACCTGGCTGTTCCTGTCACATGGTCTAAGTTAAAGAAGACAGATCGACAGTGCCACAAGCCATGACAGCTGCAATTGAAATGGAAAAAACTATTCTTGTGCATTTTTATTATGTGGTTTTAATACAAGTAGTTTTATCAGCTGTATTCCTAATATGCGTTCCTGTTTGCTACATGTTTGAACAGAAAAGCAGTGGCTACTATCAACTAAAAGACCTTTAGAAAGTCAATATGAAAACACTTACACGCTCATGTGCCTGCACATGTAAACCCCCATGCCATTTCCCAAATAAAACTTTCTATAAGTTAAACAGGGCAAATATTTGCTTATGCTTGTTGGTATTATGCCACAGCTGCAACCCTAACACTGAAGGCAGTCTATGCAGTGTCGCCACGTGCTAGTATCATACCAGGAAGTGACACACAACCATCTGAAAAAAATTCTTCAAAATTTGTCTACAGAGAAGCTCATTAACCTGATAGATCTAAATCCACCAGAAACACAGAAGCTCAGGATAGAGCCAGTTCCACTCTGAAGATTAACAAACATTTTTATATGCTGAGTATTCTGCCAATACTGTAAATCTACAAAAATCAACATGTCCTTCATGCATGATCAGGTTGGGGTATACATTTGGACAGAACACAGGAAAAGGAAATCACTCATTTACAGCAAAATGACTCAAAAAATATATTTGTCTTAAAATATAAGTGGCAAAACTAAATGCTGTCTCTTCCTACTAGATTTAACTCATTAAGCAGCTAGACACCACTCTGAGAATTAAGCAATTCTCGCTTTGTTAGGGATCACCAGTAAGCAAAGGGATCACCAGCAAAGCCCAATAGCCAGTTACCTACTGACCACACTGTGGCCACAATCTGTCTCAGGCCAGACCTGGTTACCTGCCTCCACCCCTGCACCATAGCTACATAGTTTGCTCAGGAGCACACTGAACACTTTGTTCAGGGCTAGCATTTCTGAGCAGGGTTCATTTCTGAAGAGGATGGCACAAAGGCACAGTCCTATTTTCACCTCCTGTCATGCAGCCAGCAGGGACCTGGCAGGCAGGAAAACCACTAGATGACACATCTCTTTGGTGACACAGCTGTCTTGCTGATACAAACCCACTGCCTAAAAAACGTTGACACCACCACAACATCAAGCAGTTGGGATCTCCTTCACATGCTCCAAGTTGCCACACAGCATTTGGGCAAAATCCAACCTATTACAACTGAAACCAGAGGCTGACTGAACTCATACAGCCCACTCACACCTCAAACAGCTAAAGCCTCACTTCCATTCAACAATCTCCACTCAACAAGTATATCTGGATTTCTCCAAAGAGCCACCTGTCTTTTTGGTCATGGATTAAACTTAAAATCTGTTTGGCTGCAGGACAAAAATGTTTTGTTTTTAGTAATGAAGGTCCCAAGAATTAGGCTTTTGAAATCTTCATTTAAAAGAAACCTGTTGATCTGGAGGGAACTACTGTGTCACAGCTGGTGTTTAGATGCAAGCTCATGTAGCTGTGTTACCTGTGTTCCAGTAAAAAGGCAAGCAGGATATTGAACCTAAAAAATCTAAATGCGAGGTAACACATTGCTGAGGAGTGCTCTCCACATGAAGATCCCAGCTCTTCCACTGTGCTTCCCCTCTGCTTTCTGCATGTGTGCACACGCATGCATTTGTGCTTCCAGGCAATCAACATTATCACAGCACAGTGTACCAAATTCTAGCAGACTTATCAAAGGCTCTCTTTCATACAACTTTAGCAGGAAGAAATCTCAAGTCAGGCACTGAGAGCCATCTTCAGGGGCCAGGACTTGAAAAAAAAATGATGATCAAGCATTTTAAAAACCACATTTAGT